ACACCAGCGGCCGACAGGGCACAGGGCACTACTATAGCCGTTTCATTATTCAGAAAAGGCCTGCTGCCGGAGTGAGCCAAATAAGTAAACAGACACCCTGTGGTGTCTTGTGTCCACCGAGATGTCCAAAAAAAGCTCCCGAGACATCCTGGGCGGCCACACCGGCACGGGGGGTCCTATGGAGGCAGGGGGGATGGCGGTGAGGACTCGGACTTACCTTCCTCAGTACTCCTGTCGTGTTCATCGCTGCGCTGCTCTGGTTGGACTGGCGCGCCGAACTCCCAAACGCTCACTGCACGCCGGGCACGCCGTTGGCCCCGGACAACGCCGCCGTCCCACCCGGCCACCCGACCTTGCCTGTCTCTCTCCTGCTCTCCCCCCTCTCCCTCTCACACACACACATGCATTCGCGCTCTTTCTCTCATTTACCCCATATATGCTTCTCTCTCTCTCTCTTTCCCCACCACTATCGAATTCAACCACTTGTTTTCATTTTCTGGGCGCCCCCCACTTCCCCCTCCCCCACAGCCCGAGACAGGTAAAGAGGCTCAAAAAGAAGAGTCAGACGATCAATCTTCCAGCAGCAGGTCTTTCGTCTCCAGAGGATGGACGGGGGAGGGGGGGGGGGGTTAAACGCAGCAGCCTCAGCAGCGATCCCATGGATCCAATGCCGGTTCTATCGAGCCGGCAGCCAAGACCATCGCCCTCGGCCGCACTACATCGTCCGAAATGGTGTGATGGGGCTGAAACTGACCTGCTGCAACTGCACCTGCAGATGCAGGTCCACACGACTCAGCGGGTCGAGCGGAGCGACGCCAGCAATCATTTACAAAAGATATGGAGTGACATCTTACTGGTGAAAAGTGAGAAGGGCGTAAGTCCACAGACTTTTTTGATTGGACTTACGCCCTTTTCACTTTTCACCATTGATCTATAAAAGAGGAGGGGGGAGGGGGTGTACTTGTGGTCGCACTTCTTGAACTTCCCCTGTGACTGGGTGTCTAGTGCAGCACTATGGGGGACTTGAGGACTCGAGGGAAAAGAAGTACACCGTTCAAGAAAAACTACAAGCACCACCGCTTGCCTGAGCCAAGCAGGCTGCGCGCGACCAGACGCTTAAGCCAGAAACTAACCCGGGCTTCGCCGCCGCCGTCATAGATTTGATACCAAGGAACTGAATGCTTCGACCTATTTTGTCACACTCTTATATCTGTCACTAGGTCATTTCCCTTGTTGGTCCCACAGCAGCAGATCGCGGGGCTGCATGCGACGTCGTATCACACAGCTGCGCTAGCGAAAACGTCGCAAAAATTAAGTCACGAAACGTCGCGAACGTGGGCCCTTTCCTTTTCCTCTCTCTATGGGTGTAGTAACCGCGTTTTGCTGAGCACTGCACGTTGTTAGTATCGCTGTCCCGCTGACCCACAACCCAAGAGCCCCCCGTCACCACGGACCACACTGCAACTGCTGCTGCTGCCGCGAGCAGGGAAGACCGGCACGGCTCCAGTCCCTTTGGCTGTGCAGTGTGACGTCGTTGTGGTAATGACCGTCGTGACACCGGTGGTAGTGACCGTCGTGACCGGAGGTAGTGACCCGTGTCGGGTGATAAGCGTTTCACCAGCAAGACTCTTCTAGCGTTTCACCACCGCAAAGAGGAAAGAAAAGAGGTGGAGGGAGGGGGGGGGGTTAGCCCAATAAACACGGAAATAAATAAAGTCACAAGGACGTCAGAACAACGAATTTTGGGGTTGAAATTGGTCACAAAACAAATCGAAATTTAGGCTGAAACTGCGTTTTCATATTTGACGTCAAAATGAAATGACGTCAATGACCCATTCGTGACGTTCTCGTGTTTACCGCGGGTGTGGGCTTGTCACACCGTCACACACACACACACACAAAGTGCGGCGGGTGCGTTGCGGGAGGCAGTGGTAAATAATGTCAGCGATAACATTTCTCCCGGTGGGGTAAGTTAGTTATGGCGTCAATGACAAAGCCGATAACAGATAAGTACCGGGTGTTTCGGAGCGGACGCGGACACCTCAGTGGTGTTCCAGGATTGCCTACTCCCTGTCGCTCGTAAGAAGGCGCCATAGCCCCAGCAAGTATGTAATCTATTTATCAATTCGTCTCCATAACACCGCAGCACTGTGGTGGAGCGTACGCTCTGAAATACCTGGCCGGTCCGAGCACCCGGGTGCACCCTAGCCGAGACCGAGAGCGCCCCGGCCCGCTGCCGTTGTCCGCGGCTGGTCTTCCCTCTGGCACCCCGCGTGCTCGCGTCGCGAGGAGAGCCGAGCCCCCCTGCTGCACCACCGCCTCGCCTCCGCCTGTTTGCTTGTTTGGAAGCTGTTGATCCGTTCAGAACCGTTGCGCCACTCGCCGCCCCGCGCCAGCGTCGCTCACAGCAGCACGGACAGATAAAATTGTTATTATGTGTGGTGTTCCTAAGCGGGCGGCATGCACCACACAGCGAAGCGCTTCTTTAAGGGGTTGATGCAGAGGGGTGCTCGGCGTGGGGGGCGCGTCCAG